GCCGCTCTGCAGATGGCGGCGGCGGACAGCGTGACCAGGGGTAAGGACCGGGCGCCTCCGGGGCGCCGGCGCTGCCCGGCCCAGCCCGGCCCCTTATCCCGGCCCGGCCCCTTATCCCGGCCCGGCCCCTTATCCCGGCCCGGCCCCTTATCCCGGCCCGCTTTCCTGCCCCGCTTTCCTCCCCGCTCACCTGACGGGCCGGCAGGTGCAGCAAGGACAGAGCCAGGAGCAAAACGGCCTGAGAGCAGAGAGGTCAGAGCTTTGCAGCGGGTGTTTCCTTTGGCTGTTTCCTCCCAGACGCTCCTTACCCATGGAATTGGAAAATAATGGAATAAGTTGTTCACACGTGGATGGTTTTTTTTCTGCTGGGCGGTGTAACAGCGGGTATCGTTCAGGTGATAGCAAAAGAAACTCTTGGGTTAATGCTTGAAACAGAAAACAGCCATGGAAGTTCAGACGGAAGATCAATCTGAGCTGGTCTGTGCCTCCCGTCGTTATTTAAAGACAGGTCCTGTATTTGAAGTTCAGGCAATGCATTCCTCTGCAATCTAAAGTAGAAAGTACCTGGTTTCAGGATTTGCAAAACAGCTGGTTTATGGACCACATAGAGTGGTAACAAATATTTTTTACTTCATCTATTTAGGCATTGCTCTTAATGAACTGCACTTGCTGAAGAGCAACCACAGTGTTTTTGATGGCAAAAGGAATATTTTCCCCCCTGTCATGCTGTGTTGCCAAGAAGGAACCACGTAGTTGTCTTGAGTTGCCCAGGTTTTGCAAGAGAAAGTGGACACTGAAGAGAGAAGCGGGTAACAGGGCCTGTTCCAGGGGTAGCTCCACAGTTGGCAAGTGCACAGTTTCTTTCTCACCAAACTGCTTTTCAGTGTAGTTTGGTGGCTTCTGTCACCTCTGTCTCTCCCCATGCTCTGAGCTGGAAGCAGGTTCATAAGCAGGGCAGGTCTGTGTTTTTGAGCTTTGCAGCTGCACCTGGAATCTCCTCTAATGAGCTGAGCTATAAAAGGCCTTTATAATGGACCACATAATGTAACAAATTACAGTTTCCAGTTTTCCTGGTAATCCTACACCAGGGTATTGGCTCCTCTCACCAGTTCTCACACATTAGGAAGAACTTATCCTGCCCACTGGGGCCAGAACCTGTGGTGTAAAGCTGGGTGGTTCACCTGCAGATTCCGTGGTGCAAGGCAAGGAAGCTGAAATACAGTCATTGGTCTATGGGTTTTGTTTCCTCACTGCTCTTTTTAGTTGAGTTTAAACTCAAGTGCATTTTCTGCTGAAAAACCAGAGGTATGTAACATAAGCTTGTGGTTCAGTAGTTTAGCACAAAGACTGAGCATTTTTATCCTGGGCATATTTGTTATTCCCAAGAAAGATGGATTGAAATCTGCCGATGGTGCCTGGTACCCAGTTTCGTATGTCATGATAAAGAACTTGTGCTAGAGACAAAGGAAACCTTTAAGTGTGTTTGCTTGACAGAGCTGTTTGCCAGACTTTCCAGTTAGGTGCATCAGGGTCTGAGGAGATGAGGTATGTAATTCAGTGGACAGGACAATGCTACTTTGAAATTTCTTCATTCAATTTATGAAATCAATTTACAAAATCAAAATCTGCTTACAAAGAGAATAATTTACAAACTCTCTCCACTTTTCTACTATCCAAAGATCGTTGGGTGCTTCAGGGCAGGCAGAGGAAGAAAGTGCCAGGACAAACTGACCTTAGGGAGAGCAGAGACCCCTGAGTTTCTCTCCCTGGATCCCTGTGAGGTGGGTTCACAGGGACTGGTGAGCTCAGTGTCAGCACAGATCTGAACACAGCTCTGCTGTCCCCTACACCAGGAGTGTCCTACAGAGAAATGTGCTTTTCTTTTACCCCCAGCTGAGTGGGGCAGCCCCACTGCCCTATGTGGAGGGGCTCTAATTGAGTCCAAGCTAATAACCTTGCTGGATGTGCTGATATTTCTCCATAGCTGTTTGGAGGCAGCTGCCCAGGTGCTGCCACAGTGCAGGTTCCTGGGGCCCTGCAGGGCACAGAGTGGCTGCATGGCTGGGCTGGAGGAGGTACCAAAAGGAACCGAAAAGGACTTGGGAGTGATGATGGACTAGAAGGAGCTGGCAACCTTCACCTGCAGCCATGAAATCAACTCTATCCTGGGCTGCATTAAGAGCAACGTGGCCAGCAGGTCCAGGAAGGGGATTCTCCCCTTTTACTTAGCTCTTGTAAGACCCCAGATGGAGCACCGTGTCCAGTTCTGGAGCCCCCAACATAAGAAGGACATGTAGCTCCTGGAGAGAGTCTGGAGGAGGCCGCGGAGATGATCCAAGGGCTGGAGCAGCTCTGCTCTGGAGCCAGGCTGGGAGAGTTGGGGTGTTCAGCCTGGAGAAGAGAAGGCTCCAGGGAGACCTTAGAGCAGCTTCCAGTGCCTGAAGGGGCTCCAGGAAAGCTGGGGAGGGACTTGGGGTAAGGGCAGGGAGGGAGGGGATGATGGGGGGATGGATTAAAACTGGAAGAGGGAGATTTAGATGAGACATCAGGAGGAAATTCTTTCCTGTAAGGGTGGTGAGAGCCTGGCCCAAGTTGCCCAGGGAAGCTGTGGCTGCCCCATCCCTGGCAGTGTTGAAGGGCAGGTTGGATGGGGCTGGCAGGAGGTGTCCCTGCCCATGCAGGGGGATTGGGACTGGATGATCTTTAAGGTCCCTTCCAAACCGAACCAGTCCATGATTCTATGATTTGTATAATTCCGAGTCTCACCGTAGTGGTCAGGATGTGGTGCCCCTGGGTAACCAAAAGCAGATCTTACTTTTCCTCGCCTCACTGGTGCCGTGTGTCTCAGAAATATACTTTGTGTGTATGTAATTCTTGGTTCCTCATAGGATTTTGTTTTGATTTGACACCTCTTGTTTACAGCTACACTAGGAGCCGTGTTTGGCGTAACAACCTGCCTCACTGCCCAGGTCCGAGAGGAACCAGAGGATCCCTTGAACTACTTCATAGGTGGATGTGCAACTGGAGCTGCCATAGGTGTAAGAGGTACGTGTGGGTAATGCCTGGAATGAAATGAGGTCTCTCTGGTTTTAGCCCTATTAGGGAAAAATTTAAAATAATCTTGATGTCAGGCTTATCATAGAATCATAGAACGGTTAGAGTTGGAAGGGACCTTAAAGATCATCCAGTTCCAACCCCCTGCCTGGGCAGGGACGCCTCCCACCAGACCAGTTGGTTGAAAGCCCCATCCAGCCTGGCCTTGAACACTTTCAGGGATGGAGCTTCCACAACTTCTCTGGGCAACCTGTTCAAGTGTCTCACCACCCTCACACTAAAGAATTTCCTCCTGATCTCTAACCTAAATCGCCCCTCTTACAGTTTGAATCCATTTCCCCTTGTCCTCTCATTACAAGCCCTTGTAAAAGTCCCTCCCCAGCTTTCCTGGATCCCCTTCAGGTACTGGTATATGGTAAAGATTCATCTCAGCCTGTGAACTCCATACCAGTTTGGTTGGTGCTCCATTGTATGCCCCTGCTAAAAGGCACAGGGCTGCAGAGGAGACCAGAGATAACCTGGAGCTGCTGCACAGCATGAAAAAGGGACTGACCCAGTACTGCCAGTTACAACTTGAAATTGCAGGGTATGAAAAACGTAATTGTGGAGATCCACGTTTTCTTGGCAATAAATGTGATGCATTTTACATGGAAAATACCAGTTTTGTGAATTCTTCATGCACTCTGAGGGACAGGCTGTACCTTGCTGCTCTTCACTCCTGTGAGCAGTGACAGGACTTGGGGAAATGAATCAGGGAAGGTTTAGGTTGGATATCAGGAAAAGGTTTTTCACCCAGAGGGTGGTTGAGCACTGGAACCAGCTCCCCAGGGCAGTCGTCACAGCACCAAGGCTGCCTGAGTTCAAGAAGCCTTTGGATGATGCTCTTGAGGCACATGGGGTGATTCTTGGGGTGCCCTACACAGGGACAGGAGTTGGACTTGTGATCCTGATGGGTCCCTTCCAACTCAGCATGTTCTATGGTTCTTGCTCCTGTGATCCTGTCAGGCTCAATGAGCTCCTGCAGGTATTTGTACAGCTCTGTTTCCTGTGCACCTGTTAAAGATGAGATGTATTGAAGTTGTAATTGTGAAAAAGAATTCATCTTTACTTTTTCTAGTTGTTGAGCTCATGAGAGTTTGAAGCAGTGTTTGCTACTTTTGTCACTGAAATAAGCAATTTAAGGTTGTGTAAGGAAATGGGGTAGTGGATTATAGAAATCGATGTTTCCAACTGCAAGCTAAAAGCCTGAGAAAGCAATTTTTAAAAGTCACTTTTCTGATTTCTTGTGGCAAACAATGTTACTTATGAGCAAGGGACTGTGAGTAGATCTTGGAAAAATTGCAGAATCTGCCAAGATCTACTGTATGGTACTTGTGCCCTAACAGATCCTCTGTGGTTTGACTGTTTTCCAGCTCACAGTTACATGACTGGCACCACCGCGTGTTTGGGGCTTGGAATTGCTGCTGCTCTGATGAAGATCGGCAACAAGGAGGGCTGGAGGCTGACGGGGCCTCCCAAGCTGTGAGTGTTGCCTCTCCTCCCTGGATGCTGTGTGTAAGAAGGTGTTGTGTAATAAAGATACTGTCACATCAGCAGTTGTCACAAAGTGTTGCTGTTGTGGGGCTGTTGGTGGGGTCAGGGCTGGGATGAGGAGCTGGAGGGGCAGCTGGGTTGGCCACTCCCGCAGGCTGCACTTTGCCTCCCTGTCTGTTGTGCACACAAGCTGGAGGGAAACAATTCCTGGTTTTAGACTGGACTTGTAGGAGTTACTCTTGTGGCTTTGAGTGGGTCCAGCAGTAATTTTTTGCCAGGGATTGGGACTGCACTGCACTGAGTGGCCAGCAGGAGCAGGGATGTGATTCCCTCCCTGTGCTCAGCACTGGGGAGGCCTCACCTCGAGTTCTGGGTGCAGTTGTGGGCCCCTCACTGCAAGAAGGATCTTGAGGTGCTGGAGCAGCTCCAGAGGAGACAACGAGGTGAAAGGATCAGAGGGAAAGTCTGATGAGGAGAGGCTGAGGGAGCTGGGGTTGTTTATCCTGGAGGACACTCAGGGGGAACCTCTCTCTACAACCACCTGAAGGGAGGTTGTGCTCAGGTGGGTCTGGGCTCTTCTCACAGGAAACCAGTGACAGGACCAGAGGGCCTGGCCTGAAGCTGCTCCAGGGGAGGTTTAGGTTGGATATCAGGAACCATTTCCTCATGGAGAGGGTGATCAGACATTGGGATGGACTGTCCAGGGAAGTGGTGGAGGCACCATCCCTGGAGGTGTTGAAAGGCTGATGTGGCACTTGGTGCCATGGTCTGGAGATTTGGGGGTGTCAGGTCATAGATGGACTTGATGATCTCATAGGTCTATTCCAGCCTCACAGAATCTTACGGGGATTGGAAGGGACCTTGAAAGATCATCCAGTCCAACCCCCCTGCCAGAGCAGGATCACCCAGAGCACATCCCACAGGAACGTGTCCAGGGGGGTTTGAATGTCTCCAGAGAGGGAGACTCCACAGCCTCTCTGGGCAGCCTCAATAATTCTGTGATTCTCTGAGTCCATCAGTTAGGGTTTGGAGTCTACAACTTAAGGGTTAGAATTGGGGTATAGCTAAGGTTGGCAGGATCCCTGGAGATCTCACTGATCAAGGCTGCAGCAGGTTGTTCAGGGCTGTGTCTGGTTGAATTTTCTATGCATGTTTGCAAACTTGTCAGCAAAGCCACCAAGAAGGTGTAGAGGGTAGAGGCAGAAGATGCACAAGAAATGGTGAGAACTGCATCATTCAGCCTGGACAAAAGAAGGTCAAGGGCTGATTTTATACTGGATTTTCACAACTTGATGGTTTCAGAAAAGGCAGACTTGGATGAAAGGATGAGAAATAACAAGCACAAGTGGCAGTGAAATTCTAACTAGATAGATGGGGAAAAAAAGTTCTCACAGTTGGGGTAGAAAAGTGCTGAAAAAATGGACTTGGAGAGGCTGTGAAATCATCTTTGGGGATTCAGAATTCAACCAGAGAGATGGGAACATGTCGGTGTAGGGATGGGACAGTTGGGGGTGGGAATGCAAGTTAATAGAGGCAGGAAATGTGGGCACTGGGGAAAGCAGGGATTTGGGGCAGGGGAGCAGAGGGAGGTGTGAGGGGAGGGAACAGGAGACAAAGGTACTGGAGGCCCCAAGGACAGCAGAGGAGGGGACAGAGCAACATGGGGAGACATGGTCACAGCCCTGGCAGGTTGTGCTGCTCCCTGGTGTGTGTTCTCTCTGGACAGGAGGGTGTCCTGAGGGGCACGGGATGGTCCTGGAGCAGCTGGAGCTGGGCCAAGGGGACCCTGTCCTGCTGTGCTCCCTGGCTAGGGGACCCTTGGTGGGGGGTATGTCAGTGGGGTTGGGTTCCAGTTCAGGAGCACAGTGGGGGTGGGGGGCTGTCACAGCCCCATGGGGTGAGCAGGGTTTGTTTCTCTCCCACCTGAGAAGTTTTGAGGGGGGCCCTGCTTTACCCTGGGCTCTGGAGGTAAGCAAGGTTTAGGGGATTCTGATGGTCCAGAGACCCCCAAAGGACCTGCTCAAGGTGCCCTGGGGTTCAGAGCCCCTGTGGCTTCTGCCCGCCCTACTGCCCGTCCTCAGGGACCCTGGGTGTCCCCTGTGCCCTGTCCTGGGGCTTGGACCTCCCTCTGCCTCAGCCTCTCGCAGCTCCAGGCCACAGCCACGTGTCTGCTCGGGGCTATAATTACCCAGACACATTCCTGGGGGGTCACAGGAGCTTCCCGAGCGGAGGCAGGCGGTAAGGGGGGACGGGTGGCAGGACACGGCAGCAGGACAGGGCAGGCCCGGCAGGGACACGCGACACGTGGGGCACCACGCGTGACGGGGCCGGGGTGACAGCGCGTGGCACCTGGCAGCGTGACCCGGCGTGTCAGCGAGGAGCGGCACCCCCGGCAGGCAGTGCCAGCGGGCACACAACATGCAACGTGCAACATGCAACATAGCATGCAACTCGTGGGGCCACGCGTCGTGACATGCGACAGGCAGCTCGACAGTGCGACAGGTGACAGTGCACAGCAGTGGCTGCCATGCACCAAATGCGTGTGACAGGCAGCATCACTGGGGAGATGTTTGGGGACCACTTTGCTGCTGCCGGAGCATCAGTAGGTGGGACTATGGGGCAGTGGGTGGGGAAAGGCTTGGTGGCTGCTGCAATAGGGTGGAGGGTTTGATTGGGACACCAGGCTGAGCTGTGGGGCTGTGGCTTCCAGCTGGGGCAGCAGTGTTAGCTGTGGGTCAGCTTCATTCTGAGGGGTCAGCAATGAGGCAGATCAGGGGCATGAGCCTCAGCTATGGGGCAGTGACATGGCCTGTTGGTATCACTTATGGGCTGCAGTTTGCCCAAGGGGCATTACATTCAGCAGCAGCAGTTCCTGGTGGCCTCAGCTGTGGGGCAGAAGCTTTGGCAGGGCCAGTGGCTCTCACTGTCGGGCTGGATGCCGTGTCCCCAGGCAGGACTCCTGCCATGGGCCAGAGGCTCTGGCTGTGGGGATCACACACTTACCCCTGCTCCATGTGTTCCCCCCGGC